GCGCGCGCGCGCGCGAGCGTCCGTGCGCGCGTGCGTGCGTACGTGCGTGCGTGAGTGCGTGCGGGCTTGCATGTGCGTATGCGATCGCGTGCTCGTTTGTGCCCGTGCGCGTGTGTGTGCGTGGTGTCTGTGCGCGTGGGCGAGTGTTTGGGTGTAAGTGTGTGTGCGTGCGCGCGTGTATGCGCGTGCACGAGTGTGTGTTTATGTGTGCGCCAGTCCTTGTGCTTCTGTGCGCGCGTATGTACGTGCGCACACGCGCGTGTGGGTAAGTGCATGAGCGTGTGCGTGCATTTGCGTGCGCGTGTGCGCGAGCCTGTGCGTGTGCGTCGGCGCTAGTGTGTGTGCGTGTGCGCGAGCCTGTGCGTGTGCGTGTGCGCTAGCGTGTACACGTGCGTGTGCGCGCGCGTGTTTGTACATGTGTGTAGGAGGGAGCGCACGCCATGCAGTGTATAGGCGTGTTGGAGCACGCACCATGCCACCTCGAGCCAGCCAAACCCGACCATGACCGCGCTCCTGGGTGGCCCTGTCAATCACATTCCACACAATAATGGAAAAAGTATGTTCGAATCTCGCGACGACACTGCGCATCTTTTGAGATGCTGGCTTCCTGATTCCCCACATGGTAGTTGTCTACACGTTTACACTGTGCGCGATAGCAGGAGCGCTATACACGTGTGCGAAGTATACAACGCTGCACGCTGGTTCTATATTAATGAGCAACCAGCACATCGCGAAATTACCGAGCTCATATGACTTATGGTGGTTCTTGGAGACATTTACTGACAACAAATGCGTCCTATGAGCCGTGAAATCAGATCATTGCGATTACACTAGCTAGTGCATCAGCAGAGTTTGGAGGGCAGGATGAACGAAGTGGTGCCAGCAAACCATTATATGTAGGACCAAGAGTAGATAATAATGTGTTATTATCTACTCCTGGTAGGACCCAGTCAAGTAGCAGAGGGCACACATTAACATCTAATAGCTCAGAAACATGCAAATGTCTTGTTAAGAATCGACCGTTCTATTTTGTTTCACATAAAATTACACTAAGTACGCCATGCAGTCTTTCGGCTGGGCCGAAGAAATACTTGACATGACCGCTTCTTTTTTTCGGCAGCATAAAAAAGTGTGAAAACAACAACAGTAAACTATATTAGAATGTCTTCACGCTATTCACTAAAGTTGGGACGTTTACAATCGGAAAACGCAGCTTCTCATTTCTTAACAATAACAAATCGAACATTCCTGTGAATAAGTTTCAGCAACTGCCTACATATAATACCAAGCGAGAAACCCTGAACAGTAACTGGAAACGAATGTATCCACAGTGTGCAAATAGATTTTATGCTTGCAACCGGCCTGTCTGACATTGTGCCCCTCCCGGCCTCACCACAGCATTTTTCGGCATGTTCAATAGTGTGTTCTACAGTCTCACGAGTCTCACCTACATCTACTTTCTCAGAATTAGCGGTAAACGCGCGCCGATAATAGAAGTCGACATTCGCACTATATGGAGACACCACAGGTGGATATGCCAATCGGAAGCAACCGTTCTAGTGAGCGAGAATCTAAACCTACCTTACCTCCCTCCTCCTTCTTACTTTCCTCCTTTTCCTTACCTTACGTACCTTTATCAAGCAACGGGTGCCGTTGCGGTACAGTTGGCTACCTTTCTCTATACTAAAGATGCTGCACAAAAGTAGAGGTCATCCATCGGCAGCAGGCCTGAATATGCATCGAACAGAGATTATTAAAAAATACCTAGAGTTTCGGTGCATACGCGACATACGCTTTATTCATGCTAAATGGCGACCGATACGCCAAACATATCTCATGACTCGCATTATGTCGTAAGTGATGAGAGAAATGAAATATACTTGATATCTCTTAGGAGAAACAAACCTTTCCTGGTATCCAGAAACGATATCTTCCACTTTACAGCGGGAACCTCCATATAACTCACACATGACCTCTAATTTACGATTCCATTGATTAATGATAGGGTTTCCCACATCGCTCTCCCCAACAGAAGCCTTGTGCATTTGTAAAAAGGTGGCGAGTGTTTGCTATCCTTCGCTCATGTCTATGCCGGAGCTGGTAAGGTATACCCATTGATCTCCGCATGTTATCACAACTACAGAACAATCACCTCCCTATTATTATTTCGCATAACTCGGAACACGCTTCCTGTTTACTGCTCCCGTAGATTGAACACACGTGAAATCTAGGGCGAAGCACATTTGCGATAGCAAAGCACTTTAACTTAATTTATGGTTTATTTCTACCGTTGTTGAAAGGCCTGTTTTCTATGGCGGTGGTCAGTAGCTGCACAGCATAGATCTTCTGTCAACAATCTCAGGCTGCGCGCAGCTGTACTGAGTCAGAGCCTCGTCCTGTAGGGGTGGAGTTTTCCGTACTGCTGCTATGGCGTTTATACTGTTATACTGTGCGGCTAACGTGTCCGATCCGTGTAAACATTGCTACCAGTAAAACTTCGTTGCTTACGGAAAGTGAACAGCTAGCGTCATCGCGAAACATTGCTTTAAACTATTAGCGTACATATTGACTAGTGGCGTGAGCGTACAGTGCCGAGTGCTACCAGTGGATGATCGTGGGAGGTCACTCGAATTGATGGGGCAAAACTGATAAATCGTTGGGTATTTTCTTATTTTGTTTTCTGTTTACTGGCGTGGCTACCGGCGACGGCTATTGTATGGATCGTATAGCGCCGTGTACGGCATGATATACACTAATAATCAGTATTCATATAATCAGTATAATCAGTATAAATATTCATATTATCAGAATATATATTTAGTATTCGATTTTCATATTTAGCACAAATAATTAAGCAGTTCCCGACACATTAGTAATACATATTTGCGTGTCTGTTCGCGTGTGTGCGTTTATGCGCTAATGATCAACTATAGATGAGGCTATTTTACTGCTTCTCAAAGTAAATAATAAATATCTGTTTACTAGAACTCTACTTCTGGTCAAAATATTTAGGCAATCCATGCATTACAAACCTAATTTAATTAGTAAGAGAAATGTCACGTATCCTCATAATTCTCCACGAAATGACTCTAATAGTATAAAATATTGTAGGAAAACAACTACGGTATAGGTAACCAGTAAACAACTACTATAGGTAAGATAAATACGTTAAACCATCACAAAAACAAAACATTTGTATCATTCAGGATTTACAAGGTGTTTACTATGTGAAAATAAAATTACTGATTACGTAACAAACATTAGAGCATCTCGAGTCCTAACACGGTAAAATTACGTCTTAAAAAGACGTCGCATTTCACGACATTTGTTTCAGTCAAATTTCTAAAACAGTCTCATAATGTTACAAGGTAAAGATAAACGTTTCTATTTTAACATGACCCACCCATGCAACCATGATAAAAGAAATGACTCAAGTTGTTTTAATTTGGATGCTATATTTATAATTGCAACTAAATTATTTTCGGAATCAATATAACATAACCAAGCCACGTGTTAACCATACGTAGAAACATAAGAAGAAAAAAACACTGTAACACTGAATACGTTGATTTCATGTCAACATTACCTACTCGATATTCTTTTTTGAAATTTTTTCAAATTCTCACAGCACACGAATTAAATGTTATTATTATGAGGATGTTTGTGTTGTTCAAAACTCACTAAATGTTCCAAATAGCCCAGAAAATGTGCAGCAAACTTTGTTTTACAAAAAGCTTGTCACGCCAAGCCTTTTTGTGTGTAGAAATATAGTTAATGGATCGGCGCAACCGCGTAACCACACCAACAGCACAAAATTACCATGTATATGCATTCGCTAATTATGTAGGTAAGCTAGAAAACGCCTGACTTCATCTAAGTGCATTATTTTAATTAATAAATCTATTAATATATTAAAGCGTGTTTTGTCGTAGAGTTACGAATACTTTACAATCTCCTTCGATGTCAACGACTTCGAATTCACGGATTCACAATTTTCATACATTGAATTTCTATATGCATTAACACTGCATCGATTCTGACATTGATAGCGAGGCGGCATAACGCAAAGGTTATCCTGCCCCGTTTCACGAAGCTATCGTAAAAACACAATCTTAAGGATATCCTTAGAATTCTTGTACGAGAGCCTAACGCTGTCCTAAACGTCCCTCGTTAAAGTATTTCACGAAACTTATGCCGGTGCGTTGTTAGACGGTCCTTAAAATTCAGCTGTAACGATGTTGCTGGTGGCATAGACTGGTACCCTATCTCTACACCTTGCTACTAGATATATAGTCTATATATAGAGACATGTTACAAGTCTAATGGCGACCCAGCTCACTGTGAGTTGCTACGCTAATCTCTTGCGTTATTTAGTTTTAATAAATGTAGGCACAACAGCGTGCAAACTAAAAATAATAAGTTCAAAGTATTTTTAAATGCCAAGTACCTGAGAAATAATTAAACTAAAGCAAGGTTTTCATATTTCCTGCAACTAGAACTACCACAAATAACGTATTGACTGAACAAAAATGTAACATAAATTCTGAATGTTTAGATTTACGTTTACTTTGATACAGTATTGGCGCAATAGGATACAGTAATTACATACACGAACAGCCGAAGCACATGTAAGGTGCAAGGAAGCATTTCATTTCTTCAAAATCTGCTACCACAATAAAAAGCTTCTGTTGAACGTTGAATGTTAACCCCTGCGCGTCATGTCTTCACAGGCCTTGCACAGTATTCTCTTAGACACAGAGAAGTTACCTTCTCGGCGGGTTTTCGCTTTACACTACTGCTTGCCAAAATAATGAAAACACGCGGGAAATCTCGCGTTGCTTGCTGTACGATAGCCTATAAGTACTGCCCCTGACTTGTCCTTAAGATTCCTCCTTAATAGCAACGTCGTTGAGTTAGCGAGACGTTTGTGAAACGTGGAAACTTAGCGAGGCTTTCGTGAAACACTCTATATATAAGGATATCCTAAAACCCCTCTTTAACCCATCACTAACTTAACGAGTGCTTCGTGAAACGGCCCCACCACCACGCGCAGACCACCAGAGTAAAGCAAAAATTCAGGGACACTTGTCGCTAGGCGACCATCTGCTCAGGAATCGCAAACTATTTTTAACCCCGGCTAACAGCTCGAACAGAAATTAGGATAGCTGCCCTGTCGGTTGGCTAGACATGGCTCGTGGCTTCATTGAGTTTACTTACACATCAGCGTGAAACTTCGCTGCAGACAACAAGTAGTTTGTTGAGATCCGGCCGTTAAAACACTCATGGGTGGCATTCGCCCGGGACAAGGGCCGTCTAAGTGGAAGCGATGCTTAGCGTGACCAGGCGAAACGTACGATGTTCTTAGAGTGTGAACGCGAGCGCCATTTGCAAGTTAAACCAGGCGTACGTGTTATGTCTACTCTAGCTTGGAATATAGGCCATATCGTCGTGTACGGCGTATGATATAAGACTGGGGCACGTGACGGATACCTGTAAAGTATATCCCTCTCAAACAGAGGACTACGACAGTAATGGGCGATTGAAGCGTGGCAAACACGTGATGCGGAGTCCGGTCTGTTATGCGAAATCCAATATGGCTGGTCAACGTAGTTGTCTGACCTCTTGTAGAAAGGAGTTGGTGGGACGCCCGCCGCGCGCGCGTGTGTACATGACTCTGTGTACACATGTCAGTGTCTCATCTCTCTCGCAGCTGCGCTGGTCAGCCCGCGATCTGCATATTGTGTGAAGGTTGCCAGAAGGTGGAAATGCATACTTTAATACTTTCACTAGGTTCCTTTATGGTACTTAGGTATTTTAGTTTTAGCACAGTCTGTTACCCTCGATTTATTTAGTTAAGTCACCCTGACGTCCAACTGGACGTCTGTCTGTCTGTATACCTGCCTAGCTGTCTGCCTACCTGTCTGTCTGTCTGCTTATCCACCCGTCCTTGGTGTAATGATTCTGAATGATTACTCAGATGATCGTCAGAATGATTACTCCAAGGTCCGTCCGTCCGTTCGTCCGTTCGTCCGCTTGACTGTCTGTCTGTCTACTCGTCTGATGGCATTTAGCTCCCTGTTTCCATATTTTTCTCTCTTTGTTATTGCGTTATGCCCCACTGCCACTCCCCCTCTCTTTCTGCGCCACCCCCACGCTCCTGCTGTTGCTCGCTCTAATCCTACTATCGATGTATAGCTATTAATCGGTCTTAAGCAAACCTTCTCTCGTCAAACCATTGTAGCGAACCTCGATGCTTCCATTACTAAATACGACGCGAAGTACAGACGCGAGAGCGCTCGGAGTGCAACACTCTACATACATTCTACTCCGCAGCCTTCCTCTTCATTCTAAGTGATCTGACAGCGGCATAATTTTGGTTGAAAATATTTAGGTACGTATGTATCAACACCAGCTCTGCAATAGCTGCAGTGTCGCAGGCAAACAGTTACTGTTGATAATCCTGACTGTGTTGATAAATTTACGCTAATGTGTTGCGATGCCTCCAGCCTCCAAACACCGGCTTTGTAACGGATTGAAGTATACATAACTCAGAGACGAAGATATTACAGTATGACGCGTTATTCGGTCTCGTTAATTACTTTGCTTAGATTGAAGCAATTTCCATCGAATCTATTTAATGAATGTTGTGTTTGCCATGATCTCGTGAAAGTGCCTACCCATTTTTCTGAAACCAAAAAGTAGCAATATATATATATATATATATATATATATATAATATAACAAACTATATATTACATGCGTATAGTCCACTGCTAACAGTTTTAATGACACAAGAACTACATATGAACAATAATGTGGACAAATGTTATAGTTTTACCAAAGTCATTTTGCAAAGGTATGGATACAACTAACTGCATACAATGTCAGAAGTCCATTCGTAAAGGCGAGCAGGAACACGGAGAGTCTATAATAATATAAGTATTGGCCAATTTATTA